GGCCAGACCCCCCCCTTTGCCCGGGTTTCCACCCTTCCGCGCCCGCCCGCCCCCCCCCCCAAAATCACCTGCTCGGCTCGAGAGGTGCGGATCAGTGGTGCGCGAACCCCTCGGCGCACCTCGGCGGGTGAGGTCGTCTCGCGAACAGGCAGGAAGAGGCGAGTTTCCGGACGCTGGAAACGTCCGCCGCCCGACCTGATGCTCCCCTTCTCAAGAAACGAGTTAAGCTTGCGGTCCGCGCCGCAGAAGGCTTGTCTTGTCCCGCGTACAGTAATGGAATAGTTCTGTTTAGCTTGGCAGGCAGGCTGTGGGGGCTGGCTGGCGGCTGTTCGTAGCCCTGGACCTTCCCCTCCAACCTCAAGGCGAGAAAAATGAATTCCAAGAGTTGAATTGCTCTTGTCTGCCTGGCTTCGTCTGCCTCATTGTGCACCAGGCCACCTAGTGGTGGACAAATTCGTGAAGATGCCCCGAAAGGTGCTTAGTGCCAAACGGCGGTGGGAAGGGGCGTGATTGGCGATGTGTCATCAAGTCGGTGTCGACTCCGAGATAGATTTTCTCTAGGACGATCTCTCCCTAACCTGGTCTTTCAGGTCTTCCACCGGTGGACCCGTCACTACTGTAACTGAATCCAACTGGATCTTGTGCTGGTCGTCCTCTTCTTCTTTCCTTCCACCTTTCCCAGCATTAGTCTTGTCCAGAGAGTCACATCTTTGCATAATGTGTCCGAAGTAGGATAATTTGAGGCTGGTCATTTGCCTCGGGTGAGAACTGAGTTGATTTGTTCAGCGATCCATGTGTTGGGGAGAAACTCAAATGATACCAAAGAATGAAAGAACGGAAAAGTATACCTAAAATAATATTTTGCATTCCACTTCATTTTCTTTCTCTGCATGGCCTTGTCATCATTTCCTACCACCTGCTCTAATATAACTTTTATCAATTTAAAGCAATGGTAGGAAATAGCTGTTTATTTAGATACTTATTCAGTTAATTTGTGTATTGCTTCCCATATCAAAGACAGCTCAAAGCATGGTACAGGAGGCATTTCAAGAGAAAAGGTCAAGAGTTTATGAAAATGCATGTGTAAAATGGAACAACTGGAAGAGGAAGCTTGTACTTTCCTGGAACCTATAACTATAGATGAAGGATAATGATTCATGCTTTCCAAAGCATATGGTTTGGTGCCAAAAAAAGCAAAATAAAAGAAAAACCAAACATTCTAAAAAGACTCTCTTTTTGCTATTCACGACTTAATATTTTTTCAAAACCTTAGTTCCCTGAATATCGGTAAGGGTTTCAAATCACTGTATTTAATAGCAGTGCTTAAATGGCATGTGTCTGTGCACATGCCCACACAGTAGAGGATGGGAGATACTTAGTTCCCAGACTCTATGGCATCCAGATATTGAGAGATTTTCAATAAATAAGTGCTAATTTAGGCAATATTTTGCTGCTTCTGCTGCTAACCCCACTACAGAACAGCCTTCAAGCAGCCTGGAAACTGGCTGTTTCCTTGACTAGAATGATGGCAGAAACCCTTTTCTAGGTTCTCTGCCAATAGTTCTTCCTCCCAGCAGGAAAAATGGGCTCTCCTACAGGGATTAAAGCCAAAAGCAGAAATAGCACCCAACTTTTACCCTGAGCCAAACATTACCTGTCTCATCAGAAGAGGTGCTGGGGTGATGCCCCTTGGCCTGAGACAAAGAAGTTTGCTGGGCTTCTGAATCCCTGAGTAGTCATTATTTTCAATAACAATCAGGTGCCAGGCTGTTCATCTTTCTTTCTTTACCCCATTGCATCTCCAGAGAGATGAGCTTTGCTATTCATCTAGAAAAGCACCCCCCCCCCAAAAAAAACCCTTCTCCAGCTCTGAGTCTTTGGAGGCAGGAACTTGTTTGATGAATTCCAGAAACAAAGAGTGAGAGACTGATTCAGGAAAGGCTGACAACCAGTAATAAAATGTGTTTATTGTAAATAGGTCAAGAAGTGGTTGGGTGGAAGGTAACCTGTCCTAATGAACCAGCCTCCACTCTGTATTGTAAAGGTAGTAGGACAATATGATGCTTGTCTTATTTCTAAGACTACAGTACAGCCTTTCAGAATAATTTTTGCCTACTTTAGTGAGTAACCATGATTTTTATTCAGCTCCTCCAAAAGGACGCTTTTAAAACCTTCATCTCTATGTTAGTTCATGATTCCTAAAGACTAAGGAAGGCAGCTGTTAATTTAGTCCTAGTGTGAGTGATGACATCACTCTTTCTCAGAGCATATTTTGAAGTTACTTTCCATTATGAATAGATTAGAAAGGGATAAATACATACTGTATTTAAATGCCTAGAACACTGATGAGCAATTACAGGTTCTGAGTGATGGCAAAAACAGTTAGAACTCAAGAAGATAATTTGTTCTTTGTGCATCTTTCTCAGAAATCAAGTCATATGGAAACCATTACAGCTACATTAACAAAAAGGAGATACTGTACTGTTGAACTGATTCCCAGTTGTCCTTAACAGAGTTATTCTGAATAAAACTTTGGGACATGAATGAAGCTGAAGTAATTCCATATCAGATTCCCAGAAAGAAAGATAAAAATCAACACTGAACACTTTGCTAGAATTTGTCTATGATCTTAAGCTGTTTAGTTTGCTGAAATACCACAGAGGCATCATTCATTATGTTAAAAATGATACAGTTGTGGGAAACTGGCTTTCTTTCTTTCCTATGGAATATTCCACCAGAACAGTTAGCTTCTCTTGGAATATTCCACTGTTCTTTGAAATTAAAGGGCCCAAGAAAATTCTTCTATTCTGGGCTATGTCTCATGATGAAATGATTGTGCACACACACTCTATCAGAAAAAAAAAAGCAGTAACAATGGAACAATGGTAACAGCTTCAGTTTTCAACAGCCCCTTCATACTACAAATGTTGGGGGAAACAGCAGTTGGCCTGCGGCTGTACAAAAACAAAAAACAAAAGTAGTCACACAAAAACACAAAAACAATTCAGCGTCACACTATTTCTGATACAGAAATGCAGCCTCTGGGGATTACATGCTTAGCTAATACTTAAGCACATGTGTTCTTTTCAGGAGGGAAGATTTCGTTTTCTGACCAAACTCATATTCTGCACTTTAGTCTCTCATGTAGAAAAGAAGATAAAGTGTTCCTATGGTTGCTTTTCTCTTTACAGGTGGCAAAAAAACAGCAAAAAGAATTTATATATTATTTTCCCTTGTAAAATAAAGCAACTATAACAAAAATATATTTTCCTGATTACACTGAATCATACATTTCCTAATTTGGCAGTTCCCCAGATCAACGCCAACAGATGCATATCTGGTTCAGTTTAGATGGCCAAAGCACATCCTCTATAAATTAGAAATGAGAAGAGCACTTTTTTCAGCTGATGTGATCTTCAACTAGCATAATATTGTAGCTTATTTAATTTGTGATAGAAGAAATTGTATCTTCTATATGTACCATGTGAACAAGTGAGTGGAATTTGAACTCTTCTAAGTAAACTACAAGAAATAATAGTAATGATAATATAGCTGCCCTCAGCTCTAAAGTTCCATTCAGATTTTGAAATACTTTCTGTGTCATATACAGTTGCAAGAAAAAGTATGTGAACCTTTTGGAATTTCATGGTGTTCTGCATTAATTTGTCATAA